ATGCACAAGCTAACTGCAAGTGACTAACAACTTGACAATGACACGTTCAGGGATCCCCAAGGATATAACGTTCATTGACACCTTAATAGAATCCGATCACTAAAGATCTCCTATTAGGATTTTCACAAATGACTATTGTCACTTGTCATCTCAAGTATATTGATCTTCACAAGATCACTTGAGGAACCACTAATTCTAAAATAGAATTTTTTGTGTTGTCGGAGATTACAATGGTGCTTCCTAGCAAGCTAATAACTACAAGTTTAGCACATAGCAAGTAATGAGCAACAACTCTTTGCTTCCTAATACAAAAACTAATTCTAATAATAACTCTCTAAGAGATTATTAAAACATAGCTTCTATATTGCTTAAAAGCTTTTCTGTAAGTGAGCACTAAGGCTTCTTTTCCATTAAGCTTTTCTTTTCTTTGCAGCAGTAGCAGTAGCGCAACAGCGCAAGAGCCAACAATTCTGGCAATCAGCCACTTCAACAACATTTGAATAAACAAATGATTCTTCCTTTTATAGTGCTTCCAAGAATGACGTTGTGAGGATAGAAAAGTCCTTTCTATTTCCAACGGTCATATTTCAACGGATAGAATGAGCACGTGTTGGATGACATCACTTTCTTGTCCTTTTCCATAAGCACGTGATTTATCAGATTTGAACAGCAACAACTTATCTGATGTAACATGTCTTGCATCTGGATGAATCTTCTTCTGACACAATCTTCCACTTTAGAATCCAGTCTTCAGAGTCTTGACCTTCAGAACCTATCTTCAGAGTCTTGTCCTTCAGAACCTGTCTTCAGAGTCTTGACCTTCAGAACCTGTCTTCAGAGTCTTCAGAGTCTTGACCTTCAGAACTAGTCTTCAGAGTCTTGACGCACTTGGTCTTTAGAGCCTCCAGCCTTCAGAACTTCAAGTCATCAGAGTCTTCAGCACTTTGTTCTTCAGAGGACTCACTCTTTAGAGACGCTCGTTAGCTTCCAGATCAGATGCATAACTCAGAGCAGAATCCATAGATGCATTGCAACTGTAATATCCAGCATCCTTGATTCTTTACTGAACATGATCAGATGTAGAAACAAACTTGCTTCTTCACTGAGCTTCATTTGCTTTCAGATCAGATGCACTTCTCCAGAGCAGAAACCACAGGAGCATTGCAACTGCAATATCCAGCACCCTTGGTTCTTTACTGATGGTGATCAGATGCATAAGCAAACTAGCTTCTTCTCTGAGCTTCATTTGCTTTCAGATCAGATGCACTTCTTCAGATCAGAATACACAGGAGCATTGCAACTGCAATATCCAGCATCCTTGATTCTTACTGAACGTGATCAGATACATAAGCAAACTAGCTTCTCACATCTGCTTCATGACGTCACACTAAGTAACTCCATAAGTTACTAGCTGCACACATTGCTTCTGTTTGTTTGGTCTAATATATTTAATTTAATATGACCTGCACATAACAAACATTAAACCATAAAATGGTTCTTTCACAAATACTCAATTGTTATCATCAAAACATAGAGATTATCCTGTAGAGACAAATCTTGCTCTTACAATTATCTCCGTAAGCTTATCATTTATGTCTTTTAACGATCTAATCACATTTTTTACGTGGTTGCTCATTTTTCATCAAACAATTCACAATAGTTACATTGTTTTTTCCTCATCACCTTAAAATAACTAGAACCATAAAACATTTTTTTGGAATTCTAGTCCATGATGTCATCAATAACGATTTAATGTCACACTAGGAACTATTCCATCTTCTTAGACTAGACTGGTTTATTGTAGCAAATGAGAATCTTGAATCAGTCATGGGTGAATGAAATGAAACGAATATGAGGAAGAGTAAAAAGGAATCGAGAAGAAAAAGAGAAAATGGAAATACGCGAAGAGGAAAAGAGGTTTTGCAAAAAATTGTGTTAGGGTCAGATATGGTAGTAATTGATTTCTATTTATTTAAATAATAATAATAATAATAATAATAATAATAAGTTATTAGTATTATGGATTTTTTTTTAATAATTAACTTAATTATAAATTAAAAAATGACCTAGAATATATTTTGATAAATGTGGCAATGAGACAACATCACTATTAATGTTATGTCATTGAAAATTAATTCTAGATTTAGAAAGGACTAAAATTATGAAAAAAAATCGAAATGAAGGAGTCAAAAAAATAAAATTTTAAAATGGGACGACCAAAACTTTAAAAAAACAAGGGAACAAAATTGCAATTAAACCTAATATACATTTGTTTTAATTTAATTTATTTTAGATGTATGTTTTTAAATATATTTTGATTTATTTGAATTAATTTATTTCAATTACATTTTTACATGATAGAAATATGGAGTATATTGTGGAGTTTAATGAGACTCATTTTAAATTTTTTGATGGTATATATATATATATATATATATATATATATATATATATATATATATATATATATATATATATATATATATATATATATATATATATATATATATATATATATATATATATATATATATATATATATATATATATATATATATATATATATATATATATATATATATATATATATATATATGTGAGTTGTTAAATAATTGATCAGAAAGACAAAGTGGACGAGACATGAAATGGAGATTAAAATCAAAAGGAAACGCATAACATGCAACAGATGGAGTGAAGGCAACTCCAGAAACACAACAACATGGAAAACAAGAAAGGCGATCACACGAGTATTAGAGGTAAAACTAATCAACATCAGAAGAATACAAAACAAACGGATAAGCAGAAGAGTAACAACAAAGGAATCACCATTAGAGACGTCCATAACAAAAATAGCAAAGCGAACAATAACAACTACCTGAAAAAGAGCAAACAAAAGCTTGAAGCTAATAAGCACAACAAAGATAAAATCAACGGTAGCAAGAAGGAGAACATGTCCCATACATGTGAGAATCAAAAGACCGAGTGGATATATATAATTACGGTTGCATCGCTAGTGGAAGAAGGGATTTGGGGGACTAAGGGAGGCGATCGACAACGAAAAAGGCCAAATCAACATGAAACATTGTTCAAAAGTCCAAGGGGACAATGATCCAGTAGTCACTGAAGTGATGGCTATGAATGTAGCCATGAAACGAGTGATTGCGGCGAATAGAACAACAATGGTGTTTCAATCGGATTGCATGAACATAATAAAGGTCATGAACGGGTACGAAACAGATATATCGAAAAATGTTATGGAAATGACATGCAGAAGAATGTGGAGGCTAAATGATGCTTTTGCAACCACGAGATTTGGTCATATTCGAAGGGAGTTCAACGAAACGACGCATATGTTAGTTAGGGTTTGTGTCTCCAAGACCAACAACAATATTAATGATAACCGAAAGGTTGATGGGCCAAAGGCCGCATAGTCTGTGTTTGTGGGCTTTGGCCTAAACCAATAAAAAAATTGAAAAGTGTAAAATAATGTAAAAATAAGATTTTTTTTTACCCAAATAACCCAATTTTTGGAAAAAATTCCCAAAATACCCCACATTTCAAAAATGTTCCCAAAGTACCCCAGTTAGGGTTTGGGCTTACACAAGGGTGCCATTCCAATTGGCGACCATTTGTTGAGGGTATAAGGATGTCACCAATTGGATTGGAGACACCTCATGCAGTCTGCAATCCAATTGGCAACTTGGTTATGTGCTTAAAAAGGTGTCACCAATTCATCTAGAGACCTCTTTATTTTAATTTTTTTTTTTACAAAAAATAAATAATTATAAAAATGATTAATAAAATAGTTGATATTATGAATATTATCAAAAACAATTATTTATTTTTTTGAAATTTTTATATAAACTAGGTCGGAGGGGAAAATAAATATTATCATTAATTAAAAAAAGTATTACATAAACTAATGTTGATGACTGAGTTGGTCATACCGGACACCGGTTCCACATCCCCTAGACATCCTAACTCGTTACGCTCGTCCCCCTCGTTGTTGATTCACCCTATTGTCAACAAAGCCATTATAACTGATTAAATGTGAATCAGATAACTAGTATACTGACACAAATAGACTTGATATTACCTCTCTGCAACAAGTAAGAATCAGATGATGCATTTTACCCATGCCTGTATCATTTTACCCATGCCTGTATCATTCTTAACAACAAACAAGACTAACAACACACAATACATACTAATTTCATTATACATAAAACATTAACTAGGTGATTACAACATTCCTAACTAATTACAACAATCAAACTAATTTCATTCGGTCCAAACATGACTTCCCTTGCATCTTTGTCGGTCTTAACACAAACCCATCTACGCAGCCGATCAAGTTTGTCAATACTACAAATTTTTTTCCCTTCACCAATGTCTCCTTCCAACCACCGATTTAGCTCCCTCTTAAGTTGATTGAAACTTTGTATGTTCCAAAACAACATGTCCATCAGAGGCTTCTCTCTCGAATAGACGACTTTTCCCCACCGACGATGATACATGTTATTAGTAGAACAAAGATATTAGATGAGATGTGGAAGTAAATGATCAGAACACCTCTATTTATAGAAAAAATTTCAAAATACAAGGGGTCTCCAGATGAATTGACGACACCCTTTAATGAACATAACCAAGTTGCCAATTGAATTAGAGACTGTATGAGGTGTCTTCAAACCAATGGGCGCCACCCTTATGGCCTTAACTAAGATACTTTGAGAATATTTTTAAAATGTGGGATATTTTGAGATTTTTTTTTTAAAATTGAATTAATTGAGTAAAAAATTCTAAAAATAATGAGTAAGACTCATTTAGGGTTTTCTATTTTTTTTTCCTTTAATTGATAATTTAAATAAAATTGATGGCATCTTAAAAAAAAATTATTGATCCGAGTTAACTCCTCAACTGAACCTAAGACCAGTTAACAACGAATCCTTCTGTCTGTCTCTGTCTCTCTCGACTCTTTGATTAGCTGCCAGAGATACAACATGAGCGCCATTGCTTTCACTTCCATTTGCTTTAACAGAGCTCACTCTACTAACAAGGTAGTAAATTTGACCTATTCGCTACAAAATGGTTCATTATTGCATGTTTTGTTGATTTATTATTATTCTGGGAACTTGTTCATACAGTTTCATTTTTGGTTCTATCAAAGTTCTTGTCTTTTCATTCTTAGTAAAATGCTCAATTTTGTTGTTGTTGTTGTTGGTATTCAGAATTTGTTAAAGCAACAGAATGTGAAGTCGCGTATCAAGTGTTCGATCAAAAGTGGTATAGAAACTTCACAAAAGAATGTGCGTGTTGGTGTTCTTGGAGCAAGTGGCTACACTGGTTCTGAGGTAAGCTACTATTGTATTTGTATAGCACACAATATAGAGATGGATCTACAGCTTGTCAATTGAGGGTATGCACATTTAAACTCATTGAACTCGACACCGGCACATAGACACTAGTGATAATCTAAGAACCGTGACATGCAGAGTTGTAGACACCGGCACATAGACACTAGTGATAATCTAAGAACCATGTTATGAACTGTGAACAGGGGAGAAGCAGGTTATGCAGTAAAGAAAAGATACTCACTAACTTTAGCAATATTCTTTTTGTCTGCCTTTTCATTCATCAACCAAGGAATACATATATAGCTAAACTAAATGAGAATCCAAGGAAATTTCGCTAGTCTAACAAACTTGTGAGTGGCATAACAAACTTATGACGTAATAAAATCTAGCAGTCTGTGACTAAGCAAAACAGACTCAACAGAAAAGGACAACATATTCCCTAAGACTTCTAGAAGCTTACTCACTTATTCCTACCCCCCTTCTTAAGAGAAGGAATCACAAAGTCTTGGAAATGTCTGGGCCTGACACTGTTTCTTTTGGGCCTGAGTTTGACTTGAAATCCATGATCCTCATCATTGCTAATAAGCTCATGTTCCTCATTCATAACATCCCTTGGTTCATCGAGACAAACCTTGTCCTCAAGGTTAAATTCCGGATAAGTAGCACGAATGTCTTGATAATCTTCCCAAGTAGCATCTTCGGGAAACAGGCCCTCCCACTGAATTAAAACTCTGGCTGGCTCTCCATTGTCTAATTCCCAATCCAGCACCGTAAGAGGACGAATCTTAGGCAAGTTCCCCACAGTTTCCAAAGGCAAATCTAAGGCTGGAATCGAATCGTCAAAACAAGGTTTAAGTTGAGACACATGGAATACGGGATGTATGCGACTGGAAGGAGGAAGTTCCAATCGAAAAGCTACGTCACCAACCGCGCTCACCAGTTTGAAAGGTCCGTAGTATCGCTTTGCTAGCTTGTGAATGCGTCTGCCTGCCACTGAGTTTTGACGATAAGGCCTGAGCTTCACGAAGACTTTATCCCCCACCTGGAATTTGTGTGGTATGCGCTTCTGATCAGCCTGCTCCTTCATGGTTTCTTGCGCCTTTAATAATTTCTTTTTCAAGAGCTGCAATACCTCTGTCCGCTCTAATTCGGTGGCTTCTACTGCCTGCAACGTAGTTGAACCCATGATATAATCATTCAGGGTTGGTGGTGTGCGACCATAAACCACCTGGAATGGTGAGAATCCTGTAGATGTATGAATGGATGTGTTGTAATGCCATTCAGCCCAGTGGAGGTAATTTTCCCAATGCTTTGGAGTGTCATGCACAAAACAACGCAAGTACTGTTGCAAGACCTTATTAACAATCTCTGTTTGACCGTCGCTTTGGGGATGATAGGCTGAGGACATCCGTAGCTTAGTACCACTCAAACGGAACAGTTCTTGCCAAAAATGACTTAGAAAAATCGGATCTCTGCCCGAAACGATACTTCTAGGCATTCCGTGCAGCTTGCATATCATACGAGCGAACAAATCCGCTACCTTTACTGCAGTGAACTGTGTAGGTAACATTCCAAAGTGTGCTGCCTTAGACAGACGATCTACCACCACCAGAATAGCTGTGTTTGTGTTTGTTTGGAAAGAAGGGAGCCCAACCACGAAATCCAAAGAAATGTCTTCCCACACTCGATGCGGGATTGGTAATGGGTGTAACAACCCGTAAGGGGAATGATTCGCTGGTTTGGTTTGTTGACACACCGCACAAGCTTTGACAAATGTCGCTACATCTTTACGCATACCATACCAAAAAACATTCTCTTGAAGACGGCCAAAAGTGCGATGCGCTCCACTATGTCCTCCTAGGGGTGAAGCATGAAACTCCTCCAACAACATGTGTTTCAGGGAGGAAGTGGCTGGTACAAACAGTCTCTCTTTGAAGAAGGCTAGTCCATCCTTGATCTGAAAATGAGGGAAGGTTTCAGGATGATTTTGAACGTTTTGAATCCACTGTTGGAATTCATCATCAACACTTAGCTGTGCCTTGAATTTCTCAAGGAAATCCAAATGTGGAACTTTGATCACTAAACAATGCACACGAGATAAGGCATCAGCTACCCGATTTTGTGCCCCGGGTTTGTAAATAATCTCATAGGAGTAGCCTAGCAGCTTGGCTAGATAGAATTGTTGTTCTGGGGTCTGTATCACTTGAGTCATCAGTTCCCGTAAGCTTCTTTGATCTGTATGTATCGTGAATGTAGTACCCAAGAGATATGTCCTCCACTTTTTGACTGCAGACGTAATAACACAGAGTTCCCTAACATAAGTAGATGCCTGGAGTAGTCGAGGACAAAACTGTTTACTATAATAGCAGATGGGGTGACCCTGCTGAATTAATACCGCACCCATTCCACTCCCGGAGGCATCTGTTTCGAGTATAAAGTGTTCCTCAAAGTTAGGTAAACTCAACACCGGTGCAGTACTCATAGACTCCTTCAGTTTTTCAAATGCCACCTGAGCTGATTCAGTCCAAACAAAAGCGTCTCGTTTTAATAAAGCTGTGAGTGGAGCAGCTATAGTTGCGTAATGTTTGACGAACTTCCGGTAAAAACCAGTCAGCCCAAGGAACCCTCTCAATTGCTTAACGTTGCGAGGTTTTGGCCAATCAATCATTGCAGCAATCTTTGAAGGATCAGGTCCTACCCCTTCAGCCGACACCACATGTCCAAGGTATTCAATTGAATTCTGAGCAATTACACACTTAGATCGCTTCAGGCAGATACTGTTGTCAAGCAGGCATTGAAAAATAATCTCCAAATGTTGCAAGTGAGCATCCCAAGTTGGGCTATATATCAGGATGTCATCAAAGAAGACAATAACAAAGCGGCGCAGGAAACGTTCAAAAATCAAGTTCATAGTAGCTTGGAATGTAGATGGTGCATTGCAGAGACCAAAGGGCATTACCAGAAATTCATAGTGGCCTTGATGGGTGCGAAACGCCGTTTTATGGATATCCCCCTGAGCCATCCGTATCTGATGGTATCCAGAACGTAAGTCCAACTTTGAGAACCACTGAGTGCCATAAAGCTCGTCCAATAGCTCATCGATGGCAGGAATGAGAAATCGGTCTTTGACGGTAATGGCATTCAACGCTCTGTAATCAACACAAAACCTCCAAGACCCATCTTTTTTCCGAACCAACAATACGGGTGACGAAAACGCACTAGCACTGGGTTGTATCAGACCATTGGCTAACATCTCCTTAATCTGAAGCTCAATCTCATTTTTTTGAAAATGAGGGTAGCGATAGGGTCGCACATTGATTGGGTTGGAGGAATTTGAGAGGTTAATTTTGTGGTCTACTGGTCTGATCGGTGGTAGGGCAGTAGGTGTTTGGAAGAGAGCTTCAAATTTGTCAAGGATTGGAGAAATTTGGGGGTGTTGAGTGGCAGGTTCGTTGTTTATGCTTTCTGTGTCAACAAGTTGCAGGTGCAGGAATGTATCAATAGCGTTAGTATGAACTAGACGTTGAAGTTGGTGGATATTGGATTCCTGTGGACTTGGTTTCGGAGCCCCCGATAATTGGACCGATTTCCCATCAATGTAAAAACTCATTGTGAGTTTATCATAATCTGTTAACACTGGGCCTAAGGTCTTAAGCCATTGCACCCCCAAAACTAATTCTGCCCCACTTAGTGGTAATACAAATAAATCCACAGTAAACTCATGTGGGCCCAGTAATAAGGATACTTGAGAACACATGGTAGTGCATGAGAGTTGCTCACCGTTTCCCACAAGCACTTTGAAGGATTGGGCCGGTTGGGTAGGGAGGTCCAATTGTTTCACCACTCTATCCTGTAGGAAGTTATGTGTGCTGCCACTGTCAATGAGGACACCCACTGGACTTTGGCGAATTTGGCCTAACACGCGCAGTGTTTGGGGAATAGAATGGCCCATGAGGGCATGTAAGCTAATCTGGGCCGGGTCGGGTTCCTGGTGAACAGCTTCAACTTGGGTCACGGTTTCCGAAAGTTGTAGCTGTAAGGTGGTGTCGGCATCCTCGTCTGGCTCCACAATCAACAAATGGAACGATTGCTTGCAACGATGACCTTGAGTATACTTCTCATCGCAGTTGTAACACAATCTTTTCTCACGACGGGCTTGTAACTCGGCTGGAGAGAGTCGTTTGATGGGGGTAGTTTTGGGCGGAGTGACCGTCATCGTTGGCCGGAAAGATGAGGGTGGAAGTAGTGTAGTGGCGGTTGGGAGGCTTTTTGCTGGGACAGAAGAATGTGAAGCCCGATCTGCTAATTTCTCCTCCTGAAGTTTGGCGAGATTGATAGCATGTGTGAGTGTGAGTGGCTGAAACGCCTGGACCTCCCGACGGATTGCCGGTTTAAGGCCGGAGACGAAACAGCTGAGATAAAAAGGCGGTGGTAAGCCGGTGATTCTGTTAGCCAACAACTTAAACTGACCTTGATATTCCTTCACAGAGCCAGTTTGGGTGAGTTTGAACAGAGCTCCTTTGGGATCCTCATACTGCGATGGTGCAAATCTCGTCTCCAGCGCGTGAAGAAACGATGACCATGTGAGGATCTGGCCGTTGGAGTGCATCCATTGAAACCACGACAACGCTTCCCCGTCCATGTAAAACGAGGCAATCCGGAGATGTTGTTCGTCGGGTGTCAATTGGTAGTCGAAGAACTGGTTGATCTTGAAGATCCAACCCATGGGGTCAGAGCCATCAAAGCGTGGAATGTCCAACTTGATGGACGTCGCCGGCATGGTGGTCATGGTTGGACCAGACAGATTGAACCCTGGGGGGCCAAGGCGTGTAAGAATGCACTGAAACTCATCAGTGATGTGATTCTGAAAGGCTTGTTGATTAAGGATGAGACTGTTGATGGAAGCTGCAAGCTCTTCAATGGTGGGAGGTGAAGACATGATCAATGAAAAGCACCAAATTGTTATGAACTGTGAACAGGGGAGAAGGAGGTTATGCAGTAAAGAAAAGATACTCACTAACTTTAGCAATATTCTTTTTGTCTGCCTTTTCATTCATCAACCAAGGAATACATATATAGCCAAACTAAATGAGAATCCAAGGAAATCTCGCTAGCCTAACAAACTTGTGAGTGGCATAACAAACTTATGACGTAATAAAATCTAGCAGCCTGTGACTAAGCAAAACAGACTCAACAGAAAAGGACAACATATTCCCTAAGACTTCTAGAAGCTTACTCACTTATTCCTACCCCCCTTCTTAAGAGAAGGAATCACAAAGTCTTGGAAATGTCTGGGCCTGACACTGTTTCTTTTGGGCCTGAGTTTGACTTGAAATCCATGATCCTCATCATTGCTAATAAGCTCATGTTCCTCATTCATAACAAACCATGACATGCAGAATCATAGACACCATCGATAATTTAAGGAAATACAAGTGATTGAATATAATTACACGTCCGGGATCATGCAAGTGTTGGATATTAAACTCATCTTCAATGCCTACTTAAAATAATGTCTTCCCCACGAAATGAAAACTTAGACCATTGAAGGAGTTTCTCTACTTTAAATATTGTGAAGGATCTAATCTACAACCATATAGGAGATGGATTTTTGAATGATTGTTTGGTCACATGCATTGAGCGAGATGTTTTTCATAGCGCTGAAATTGAAAATGAAAGAATATCCTACAGCAGCATCAAAATATGAAGAAACATAAAGAGTGATTATAATTTGTAGATGTTAACCCGTCTTCAAATTTTTATTTAATGGTACTAATGATGTCATTTTTTATCACTTATGCATTGATGTATAAATATTTAAATGTAATGCTCTTGATAGTCGAAATTTCTTGATACTCGTGCACACAGAAGTCAGAACACAGTAGAATGTATGGTGTTTGGTTTGGTTTTCCTTTTATAATAGAACAAAAATTGTACCTATCTTATGTCTTGTATGATTAAAATATGAGAAACGAAGTACAAATTCATATGTTACAATGGTGTTTTGTTATTCTTGTAATTAAATCTTACCTAACTGCAAAAGGGTTTGGTTGCTGTATAGGAAAAAACATGCATGCTGTTTCTTTGCATTCTAACTCATTAAACCAAATGCTACCTTAAGGTGTACTTGGATTAGTTAGTGTGGAAAGATTGGAAAATGATGCAAGAAGTAAAACTGATTTTCTTCTGACAAACTGGCTCAGAGTGATTCTAGGGTTATGATTTATATTTATCCATTGCACTTTTGTTATACAACTGAAGTGTAAAATGTAATGTGCCTTAATTCCAATTATTATGCACTACCACTCTCCATGTAGTGTACTCAAGCTGTGAAGTCATTCATTTTTGTTTTAATATCAGTTTAAATCTGGCGTAACTTTGTTAAGAGGTTGTTATTATTTTTTCTTAGATTCTTCGGCTTTTGGCAAATCATCCACACTTTGAGGTTGCACTAATGACTGCTGATAGGAAAGCTGGACAGGCAATCTCATCTGTATTCCCTCATCTGGGCACACAAGTATGGCTGGTTTAATATGTGATGACATGTATTTAAAAGTTACATATTTTTTAATTTCTAGTTATTGGTGGTATGATATGCTATCTTTTCAACTTCTTCTGATTGAAATTTGTAAACAAAGATGTTCACGGAGATTGGTGATAATTTCAAATTTTCAATCATCTTTTTTATCTGCAATTGTCATGTTGTTGATGCTTTGTTGCATAGGTTACAAATTTTGACTTCTTTGCAGAACTTGCCAGATTTGATTGCAATAAAGGATGCAGATTTTTCTGATGTAGATGCAGTATTCTGTTGTTTACCTCATGGAACTACGCAGGTTCATTCTTATGTCTTTTGTGTTTCATAATTCCATGATTTGACCAAGTGGGCAGATGAGTAAGTTTACCTTTCTTAGAAGAAAAGATATGCAGCAACAGATAGAGTGTAAATTTAATGCTTAAAAATAGTCCTTAGTTTTCTTTTTTTCTTCCAGGAAATAATTAAAGGCCTTCCGAAGCACTTGAAGATTGTTGATCTTTCTGCAGTATGTTTTGAATAACCGTTGTCTGTTTGTTTTTTATTTAAAGATTGTTTTCATTATAATTAAAGGAAATTGTTCTTATATCAGAATTGTAAACATGTATTTTGTAGGATTTTCGTCTAAGAGATGTTTCTGAGTATGAAGAGTGGTATGGTCAGCCACACAGGGCACCAGATTTGCAGGTGGTACTTATCCCCTTCAACTACAAAAGGGTCTCGTTATCTAGGTCAAATTTTTTGTTTTCTTCATCAGCAGAGCACATTGTCAATAGGATTTTAATTTGTTTTTTAGGCCATGCTTTGACAAACAACTTAGTTAACTGTTTATAGCTTAAGCCCTTTTATAAGTTATTTCTAGAGCAAAAGATAAACTAAAGTCAAACCAGTTTCATATAAGCTATCATCTAGAGTTTTTGAAAATAAGCTGAAAACATCTTATGAACATTTCATAAGTTGTTTCCGTAAACAATCCAAAACAGTCTCACAAGTGCATATGTGAGTAGATAAGCTCAAATAAGGGAATCCAAACAAACCCTTAATTCGTTGAACCTTCGTAAACCTATGATCATCGTTTAAGTTCTTATATATATTTGATGGAATAAGATCCCATCACTCTGAATTTGATCGGGTCACTTTGGTTTCTATTCATACCTATGAAATGAATTGTGAAACTCAAGTTTTTTTTTTTCTTTTGTAATTCTCTAATGAAAAAAACAAAAGCCAAATGGACTTTCCTTCAAAAACATCTATCTTTTGTCTTGCCATTTTATTCCTCATGCTGAGTTTATCTAGTTATTATCCAGAAAGAAGCTATATATGGATTAACAGAGGTTTTAAGGGAGGAAATAAAGAATGCACGCCTAGTTGCTAATCCTGGTTGTTATCCAACTTCCATTCAACTTCCTCTTGTTCCACTGATAAAGGTTAGCATACTTGCTTTGTTTTATAAACTACACATTTAGAATAAGTGAAGTTTCATTTCTTTATAATTTTTTTGGTTGCTGATTAAACAAAAAATAGTGTATAAATTATGATGTCTTCCACTAGTTCTTTGACTGTGAGCTCTATCTGCTAGTTTTTGCATTGTGGCTTGAAATTTATGGTCTAGGGTGTTAAGATTGGCATACTCTTTACATTAAGCTGATTTCCTGTTGACGATGGCTCAGAAAGGAAGAGCTATATGCATATTTTCATTTCTTGCCATACTATGGTGGCTATAGATCATAGACCAGAGAATCTTTGAAATCAGAGATTAAATTGTGGCTTGCATTTAGATTTCAATGCATTACTTGATTAAGGAGATGCATTTTGCTCATATCCAGGGAGATTGAAAGATGTTAATATTTTTGTCTTTCAGTGATGATGTTGTTTCGATTAAATGGGCTGCAATGTAATTATTTATTGAAATAGAGACCCTAAGAAGAGGCGTGGTGTTTATGTATCAAATGGACTGGGAAAGGATTATATGATCTGATGGCTCAGAAAGGAAAAACTATATGCATATGTGCATTATGCGCACCTGTTCTACACTTGTTTATCAAATCTGTCAACCTTTTACACGTGGAAACATTATCTAGGGATTAGACTTAGCTTTATGATTCCTATTTTGAGAAAGTGTTTTATGTAGTTATTGATTTCATGATGCTTGAGGTCTTTTATTATACCCCTTTGTTTTATGTTTCTGCTATCTGAGTTTTCTTGGTCTTGCAGGCTAATCTTATTCAGACTAGTAATATTATTGTTGATGCGAAATCAGGTGTTAGTGGAGCAGGTTAGACATTGGATGCACATCTTTTGTATTTTATTACAAGTGTATCACAACATTCTCAGGACAAGCATATAGTTTATTTGTTGTTTTATTACTTGGTTCTCATTGCAGGGCGAAGCGCGAAAGAAAATTTATTGTTTACTGAAGTAACCGAGGGTATGAACTCTTATGGTGTTACTCGGCATCGCCATGGTAAGCTTAGTTTGATTGTGATAGAACAGAGGTATGATTTAATATGATAAAGAAAAGTATTTTATTAATGAATGTGAAAGTAAAATAAATTCCAGAGCTACTGCTCCTCAGTCAGAGAAACTATTCTCTCACTGCCCAAACCCTAATATCAAAGACAGAAAATCAATCAATGCCTAACTACTGCCCCATACACTCCTCTTTATATGGAGAATAATCCCTAAACTAACTCCTATTTATATGGAGAATAATACCTAAACTAACTCCTATTTATTTGTGGAGTTTTCTATTCTTTCTCACATATACCCTCCATTTAGGTCCAATAATATCTCTATTAACTAAAACATTCCCATCATCATTTGTGGGATCCGATCCATTCCTATCATCACCCCCACCTACAACATTAGCCTTGTCCTCAAGGCGCAGATCAGGGAATTGACTCTTCAGCAACCGTTCCTCTTCCCAGGTAGCATCTCCAACATCCATCCCTTCCCATTGTAACACACTGCTGACCTTGGCAGGATCAACAGCAATCCCTGCTTTGGAAATGACATGGCCCAAATATTCCACTTGGTGCTGACCGAAAGTGCATTTCTTCCGATTTGCCACAAACTGATGCTGCTGCAGAATATTAAGAACCACCTCCAAGTGCTGTAAATGTTCAGCCCAACTACTACTGTATACTAGGATATCATAAAAAAAAAACCAGGACAAACTTCCTTAGAAAGGGCTTGAAAATTGCATTCATCACCGATTGAAAAGTTGCAGGAGCATTGGTGAGGCCAAACGACATAACCAAAAACTCATAGTGACCCTCATGAGTCCGAAAAACAGTTTTATGAATATCCTCTTCCTTCATACGAATTTGATGATAACTGGATTTAAGATCAAGCTTAGAGAAATAACTACAACCATGTAACTCATCTAACAATTCATCTACAGCCGGAATAGGATACTTGTCCTGAATTGTTACCTTATTGAGTGCACGGTAATCTACACACATACGCCAAGATTGATCCTTCTTCTTGACCACAATGACGGGACTAGAGAAAGCGCTGGTGCTGTTTCTAACCACCCCTTGTTGCAATAGGCTCTGAATCTGTTTTTCAATTTCATCCTTGTGTAAATGAGGATATCTGTAAGGTCGCACACTTACCGGACCCGCACCCTGTAAAAGTTCAATTGAATGACTAGTGTTTCTTGACGGAGGAAGACCTTGGATTTCTTTAAACACAATAACAAAATGCTCCAGCAATCCTTCCAACTCCTTAGTCTGTTGATCAGAGACACACGACACCGGTGACCCTAACACCTCCATCAAGGTAGACCATTCACAACCTGCTATCATTCGAGAAGGAGTGATAATGCTTTGGAAAGTAGCCATCTTATCATCTACATCCTGACCAAGTAGTTTCACCATACTGCCTTTATGGTTGAACTCCATAGACATTTCTTTCCAATCCATGGTCACCTTCCCCAATGTTTCTAGCCACACAACTCCTAAAATCAAATCCACACCTCCTAACTCCAACACATAAGCATCAAAGCAAATCTGCACTAATCCCACTTTCATCTGAATTCCATTGCATCTACCCCTAGTTAGGACACGATGACCATCTCCTAACTTAACACCCAAAGGATTAGAAGGCACCATAGACAATCCCAGGGCTTCAACCACCTTAGGTGATATGAAATTATGTGTGGCTCCACTGTCAATAAGTACCAGAATTAATGCACCTTTTAAAAATCCCTCCAATTTCATCCTCCGGACCTGATTTGGATAAGTGGATACACCAAACAGCCCCATGGTTTTACATTCTAATTCCTCTTGTGTGAGCTCTTCTTCCGTCGCAGCCTCTAACACCACAATCTCTCCTGCATCGTTAACAATTTCGTCATCCCCCAAGATAATCACTCGTAACAGTCTTGTTGCACATTGATGGAGAGGATCCCATCGTTCGTTGCAACGAAAACAGAGTCCTTTCGCACGACGCTCATTAACCTCTGCACTTGGTACATGGCGAACACCACGAGATTGACGGCGTGAATTGTCACCTAAATTTGGGCGAGAAGATGCTGTAGAATTGGTAGGACGCGTTAAGACGGTTTGAGATCCAGAATCCGAACCAGTCCGCGTTTGGCCCAAAGAATTATTAGGCTGGATCTGAGTTGCAGATCCGTTCCCTTCCCCTTCGCGAAAAGCCCAATTAGGCTTTTGAGATTTTGTCCAAGAACCATGACCCGTGTAGAAATATGGAAATATTTTATATATCTTGTAAAGAATACATAAGAGGTATTTATAGACTATACATCTATCTAAATAAGGGTGTAATTATTCTCCTATAAATGCTAATTATTCATAATAAGTTGTATAGGATAGCAGCTCATAATGAGTTGTATGATATTCAACATATTCTAATAATAATAATACTAATATTACAACACTCCCCCTCAAGCTGAGGAATGGATATCTATCATCCCCAGCTTGCAAGTAAGATCTCGAAACCGCTCTAAGGGGAGTCCTTTGGTGAGCACATCAGCTAACTGGAGTCCTGATGGGACGTACTGTGTAGAAATAAGACCACTGTCCAATTTCTCTTTGATGAAGTGTCGGTCTATCTCTATATGCTTTGTTCTGTCGTGTTGGACCGGATTGTGAGCAATACTAATAGCAGACTTATTATCACAGAAAAGTCTCATAGGAGCTTCATATTTTATTTTCAAGTCATCTAGAATAATCTTCATCCACAACAATTCACAAACTCCTTGAGCCATGGCTCTAAACTCTGCCTCTGCACTTGATCTGGCAACTACATTTTGTTTCTTGCTCCTCCATGTCACTAAGTTTCCACCTAAGAACATACAATATCCAGTGGTGGATCTCCTGTCAACAATCGACCCTGCATAATCTGCATCAGTATAGACCTCCATAGACAACTGCTCACTTTTCTTGAACAATAGACCTCTTCCTGGGCTCATCTTTAAATACTGCAGGATTCTATCCACAGCCTGTAAGTGCCTCTCCTCTGGATCATGCATGAATTGACTGACAACACTAACCGGATAAGCTATGTCAGGCCTGGTGTGAGATAGATAAATGAGCTTTCCCACAAGTCTCTGGTATTGAGCTTTATCAACCCTTGGACTTTCCTCATCACTCCCAATCCTGTGGTTTTGCTCTATAGGCACTCTGCTGGGTTTACAACCCAACTTGCCAGTCTCTTTGAGAAGGTCAAGGACATATTTTCTCTGAGAAATGAAAATGCCTTGTTTTGAGTATGCTACTTCCATACCTAGGAAATATTTCAACTTTCCAAGGTCCTTCATTTCAAACTGAGCTGCCAACTTCTTCCTCAAGTTCATCTTCTCAAATTCATCATTACCTGCTATGATCATATCATCTACGTAGACTAACAAAAGAGTGAGTTTACCATTTTGAGAATGCTTTATAAAGAGAGTATGATCACCTTGGCTTTGTTTATAACCCAAGGACACCATAACATGAGTGAGCCTTCCAAACCAAGCTCGAGGTGATTGCTTGAGCCCATATATGGCCTTCTTTAATCTGCAAATCTTATTACTTCCTAAAGTAGGGTCATATCCAGGTGGGATCTCCATATACACCTCTTCCTTCAAATCTCCATGCAAGAAAGCATTTTTCACATCAAACTGTTGCAACTCCCAATCAAAGTGAGCTGCCAAGGAAAGAATGATTCTTACAGTGTTCATTTTTGCTACTGGAGCAAATGTCTCTTCATAATCAATTCCATAGGTCTGGGTGTATCCCTTTGCTACTAGCCTCGCCTTATATCTGTCCAGTGTGCCGTCGGATCGATATTTTACCGTATATATCCATCTGCAACCTACTGGCCTTTTGTCATTTGTCTTCTCAATAATCTCCCAAGTCCCATTTTTCTCTAGTGCCTGCATCTCTTCATTCATGGCTTGAATCCAGTTCTTATCCTTTAATGCTTCTTGTACTGATGTAGGGACTCTAATAGAGTCAATAGCTGAAATAAAACTCTGATGCTGCACAGAAAGTTTTTCAGTAGACACAAACTGGGATATAGGGTATTTAGTACAAGACCTTTTTTCTTTTCTCAAAGCAATAGGTAGGTCATCAAGGTTCAGCTCACAAGAATTACTAGGCTCAGGGTTAGGAACACTTACCTCAGGTTCAGACGATTGGACTTGTTGGGGCAGAACGGGTTTACCTTTCCACCTTTTTCGCTGGAACTGTAACTTGTATCTGTCAACGTTATTATGCACCGGTATTGGTACATCACCACCATCCTCATCATTATTATGCACCGGTATTGATACATCACCACCATCCTCATTAGGCATCAAAGGCTCTTGTATTACAGGAATAACAGGAAGAACAGACAATTCAGGAGACGACTCTGGGTCCTGTATTAGAGGAATAACAGGAAGAATAGACAACTCTGAAGACTCAGCTTCTTGATTATTCTCCCCCTGAAGCTGAGGATTGGGATAAAAAGACTCTGATTCCTGAAAAGTAACATCCATGGATATATAGACACGACGACTAGGAGGATGATAACACTTGTACCCCTTCTTATCTGAAGCATATCCTATGAAAATACATTTAATAGCTCGAGGATCTAACTTACCTCGATGAGGGCCATGAACATGGACAAAGGCAGAACAACCAAAGACACGATTCTGAAGACTTGACAAGATGGGCACAGACGGAAAGAATTGAGTCAGGACCTGCACAGGACTAACACCAGATAACACCCTAGAAGGTAACCTATTGATTAAATAAGCAGAGGTCAAGACAGCTTCCCCCCAATAAAATTTAGGAACATTCATTTGAAAGCGTAATGCTCGGGTGATTTCAAGAAGATGACGATTTTTTCTTTCAGCAACCCCATTTTGTTGTGGAGTGTTAACACAAGTCAACTCATGAACAACACCATTAGTTTTGAGAAAATTGTAAAAATTTTGGTTTACATACTCCTTACCATTGTCTGACCGTAACCGTTTAATAGGTTTTCCAAACTGTGTTTTGACCATTTGAAAAAAGTTAACAAACAATTGACACACTTCAGACTTATCTTTCATAAGAAAAACCCATGTAACCCGAGTACAATCATCAATAAAGGTAACATACCATTTTGCCCCAGAAATATTGGAAATGGATGAAGGCCCCCATACATCAGAATGAACAAGATCAAAGGGTTCGACACTCCTAGTATTACTAGGGGAATAGGTTGCTCGATGAGATTTGGCAAACTGACACACATCACAATGAAAGGAATCAACAGACACTTTGGTAAATAAGTGAGGGAATAGAGACCTGAGCATCTGGAAAGGAGGATGTCCAAGACGCCTGTGTTGGAGCCATATTTGAGCATTTGCCCATGACTCTGAACCAGCCTGATGACACTTACTTTCCTTATGAGGCAGACAATATAACCCGTTCTGTTCCTCAGCAATTCCAATCGTCTTACCTGTGGCAAGATCCTGAAAAACACAATGAGAATGAAAAAAGGTTACTACACAGTTCAAGTCTTTAGTGAGTTTATGGATGGACAAAAGATTGTTAGAAAGCTTAGGGACATGAAGCACATCATTTAGGTGGAGAGATGGGCTTAGGTGGATGTTACCAGATCCGACAATCGGGGTTTGAGACCCATTTGCAACGGTAATATGGCTTTTATTAGGTAAAGGTGAATAAGAAGAGAGATATGACATATATGGAGTCATGTGATCAGTTGCACCAGAGTCAATAATCCAGATATCTTTAGAACAAGAGGCATTAAAAGCTAAGGAGCTAGAATTCTTACCCATCATGGTCAGAGAACTAGTGTTAGAGAACTTACTCAAGGAGTCCATAGAGAGAAACAAACCGTCTCGAACCAGGAGAGGATCGAGATCTACTGTTAGGAGAGGATCGAAGGGCTGCCAATTAGAAACACCAACAACGATGACAACCGAACAATCAAGGGCTGCAAACAGCAAGTAAATAGAGGTACGGCAATAAAGGCTGTCCTAAAAAAAAGATGAAGGTGAAAACGTCCGGATCTGCAACGGTGGTTGAGCGGTGCACGATGGCTGCAAAGTCACCAAGATCACTAGGGTTCCAAGAGAAAGGGAACCTTGAAAAAAAAAAGGACCGTAATAAGAACGGCTAGTGTTTTGAGCGCGGAAGCAGAGCCCCTAGAATCGGGAGCTCTGATACCATGTAGAAATATGGAAATATTTTATATATCTTGTAAAGAATACATAAGAGGTATTTATAGACTATACATCTATCTAAATAAGGGTGTAATTATTCTCCTATAAATGCTAATTATTCATAATAAGTTGTATAGGATAGCAGCTCATAATGAGTTGTATGATATTCAACATATTCTAATAATAATAATACTAATATTACAACAACCCGGTTTTTAACGTGCTCCAGAACCCTGTCCAGAAGCCACTCAAATTCACTTTCAACATCACGAGCCAATTGCATTGCTAGGTAACGGTTGCGAGGCTTGAAGGTACGCACACGAGAACGAATATCATGACGTAAACCACCAATGGAATAACCTAGAAACTGTTGTTCTAGTAAACGACCACACTGTGAAGAATACAGTTCGAATTCAGCAATATATTCCTCTACTGATCCCGATTGTTTTAGTTCCTTTAATTCCTCAAACGGATTCTCCAAACGCCCACCTCCAAATCGAACCATCATCGCCTCACGGAGGTTCTCCCATGACACTTCCTCTGTTGAATCATGCCATAGGTTAAACCAATGGATAGTAGGGCCTTCCATACTCAATTTGGTCAACTGAATACGAACATCCTGTGAAATTCGTTGTACCTCAAAGTATGTCTCTGCCCGAGTGATCCATGCAACCGGATCGTCACCGGTAAATGCCAGCAACTCCACCTTCTTTGCAGATAAACGAAACTCATCCAGCGGTGAGGAAACTGTCGCACTGCTTGGCTGCGGCACTGCACGATGAGCCATTGCACGTTGAATCTCAGCGCTAATGAACTCTCGTAACGCAGCAATGCTAGCCTCAACACCTTCCAACCTTTATTCCACTGCAGAAACACGGTCAGCCATCTTAGGAGCTTTGGGCATGAACAATGGTAGGTCGGACCAATTGATAGAACAGAGGTATGATTTAATATGATAAAGAAAAGTATTTTATTAATGAATGTGAAAGTAAAATAAATTCCAGAGCTACTGCTCCTCAGTCAGAGAAACTATTCTCTCACTGCCCAAACCCTAATATCAAAAACAGAAAATCAATCAATGCCTAACTACTGCCCCATACACTCCTTTTTATATGGAGAATAATCCCTAAACTAACTCCTATTTATATGGAGAATAATACCTAAACTAACTCCTATTTATTTGTGGAGTTTTCTATTCTTTCTCACATATACCCTCCATTGTTTAGGTCCAATAATATCTCTATTAACTAACACATTCCCATCATCATTTGTGGGATCCGATCCATTCCTATCAGATTGAGCCTATTATTGCTATATTGTTGTCTTAGTTATTATTATATCATGTTAGTGATTCTCAACTCTCAAGTAGATGAAATTATCTTATTTGGATTACAGCTCCAGAAATCGAACAGGGACTCGCAGATGCTGCAGGTTCAAAAGTAACCATTAGTTTTACCCCGCACCTGATTCCAATGGTATGAGTAGCTCTATGAGCTCTATCTTTCGTAATCTTTTATTGTTTGTCATGTAAACTGACAAATGTTCCTCTCCTCCCTTTTCAGAGCCGTGGTATGCAATCAACTATTTATGTGGAAATGGCTCCAGGAGTAAAAACGGAGGACTTGTACCATCAACTGAAACTATCATATCAGGTTTATTTGTCTTTCACTACTTTTTACCTCGTTGTGATGAAGAGTTTGGCTGTTTCTCCCTTTCTTACTTTTTCTGTTATTTGTTTTTTGGTGATTTCAGGAGGAAAAATTTGTTGTACTGTTGGAAAACGGTGTCATTCCTCGAACTCATAGTGTTAAAGGATCAAATTACTGTTTAATCAATGTTTTCCCCGACCGAATTCCTGGAAGAGCAATCATTATATCTGTGGTATGTTATAGGGCAAGTATTTGGGTTACTTTATGATACTATGTTTAGATTGATATGTTCGGTTACTTGAATTCTAAGTATGTTGATATGTTGTTGCAGATTGATAATGTAGTGAAGGGAGCTTCAGGCCAAGCCTTACAAAATCTTAACTTGATAATGGGATTTCCAGAAAATTTGGGTCTCCATTACCTGCCTTTGTTTCCTTGAGCGTTTAAGAGTAATCATCTTATCCAACACGAGTGAGCCTGAGATGTTTCGATTTACCCAATTTTTCTCTGGCAGTCATTCTTCTGTGTAAACTTATAAATGGTTCTTTTCATCCTTTGTTTCATTTGGCATATATGGCGAACGGTGGTGCAGAACCAAGGTCGCTGCCATGCATCCGGTGATCATGTGCACCAGTTTGGTTATTTTTCAAATTAGTTTTTAAGAGGTTAGGTTCTAAAATCTGGATGGGGAATGCCACTCATTTTGCTGCTACATCTTATTGTAATGTTCGTGTTCTAGTTCAATAGTATGTCTGTTTGCTCAATAAACCTGCAAGGCTTGCCCTTGCTAATGTTGTGTTAATCTCCATATCATCCCGTGGATAGAGAAATTTAATCCTTCAAATTTACGAAAAAAATAATCCAAAAGATTAATCAATCAAATAGACTTTGATACACGTGATTTAAAAGAGTTGTCGACAAAGTTTATCGGACCAAAATAGTGACTCATTCAAAACTACAGTATAAATAGCAATTTCAGAGTTATGTAAACAAATATTTTGTGTTTTACGGGAAGAAAAACTATGTTTTTCATTAACTTAACTATTTAAAATATATTTTTGACAAATTAATTATTAAAAAACAAATAACTTTTATATTTCAAAAATTAGTTGGAATTGTGTTTTTTATAAATAAAAATAGGGAATTGCTTAATACAAAAATGCTATTAGTTTTTATAGATGTATTTTTGGACACACTTGAATAAACAAAATTTTAATTTCACGTTAAAAAATTTCGAAAATGCATCTGTGTAACTCTTTTGGAAAAGCATCTCTAAATGATATTGGTTCTAAAATGCACCAAACCCTTTTGTAACAACCCAATTTTCAATAATTAATTATTTATGTTAATTAATTGATTTATTTGGATGATTTTAATTATTGGAATTATAGGTAGATATTTGAGAGGAAATATGATGGAAGGAAATGGAATAGAAAGATATATAAGGAAAAGTGGAAAGAAAAGGAAAAGATAGAAACATAAGAAAGAAGAGGAGAGAAAGAAAGAGGAAGAGGAGAAAAGAGAAGGAGAAGAAGGAAAAACTTGGAATCATCAAGAACAACTTCTAGTTTCGATTTGATCAAGGTAAGGGTGTGAAATGTTGTTATTCGATCAATGTTTATGATTATGTATGGATTGCATGGATTGTTTGGGTGTTTTCTCCATTTTCCATTCTAGGGCATAAATGGGTCTAATCGGTAGAATCGAAGTTTTAACGGTTAAAATCGAGAATAATGTGTGTAGTTTAGTCGAGGGATGTTAGACTAAGACTATAGGAACTGGTTTGGTGAGAATCAGTTGATTTTGTGAAGAGTTGAGGATTGATGCCAGTGAGAGTTTTTGAGTTCGCAGACACTCGTTAGCACGTTCGCTAGGCGAGCTGGTCGCGAGCGTTCGCCGCAGCGAGCTGTAGCGAGTGATCCCAGACTTGGGCAGAATGTATTTGATCTAGTTCGCTGGCAGTGAGTGTGGTAGCGAAGGATTCGCTAGGACCTCGCTGCAGCGAGTTGGTAGCGAACGAAGTCAGTAGCTTCTGTTTGCCTTTGCGAGCTTATTCGCTAGGCGGACAGATAACGAGTATTCTCTAGGGACTCGCTAGGCGAGCAAGCCAGCGAGCGTGACAATATTTCATTTTCTTTGTGATTCCATCCGATGTTGATTGTTTGGTTCGATTGTGTTCGATCCTTATCAGAATGAATAGTTTGTGTACTATGGTGTAATATGTTGCGGGTAGCCGTATGACGTGAATCCTAGATTGTGGAATCGATTTGTGAAATGGGGTCTTTTGACAAATATATGCATTATTTAAATTGATTAAAAGTGCATGATGATTGTGATTGAGTTCGTGGCCGTTGGCACGATGTTATTAATAATGCATGAGAACATATTGTGAATATGTGTGCATTGCTTGAAATTGTATGTGAAGAATGCATGAGAACATATTGTGAATATGTGTGCATTGCTTGATAATGTGGTGATGATGATTTAAAGTATGAATACTTTGATTATGTGAAATATGTTGTGTGTGCAATCATGTTATAATTCTTTTGTGATGAATTATTGAGAATGCATGAGATTAAGACGCGAGAACGGTCTTAAGTGCATTTTGTGGTTGATTGCATATGCATCATTTAGTCAAGAGGCAATGCTTGCTAGTTTCGTGGAGACTAGTGACTTGTCCCAAGCCTAGAAGAGTGGGTTTGAAAGCTTAGAGGACAGGCTTTTGGTGTTATCGGTCTAGAAGAGTGGACCCGGTTTAAGTGTAAAAACCGAAAAATGATAACAAGTGTTGGTACCACATGGCATGAGTTGTATTGAGTTGTGTTGGGTCACATAACATAGATATCATTGTTATATGAAATATGCTTGTGTGTGGTGTAACAACCCAATTTTCGATAACTGATTAATTGTACTAATGGATTGGTTTAGGTGGTTTATCTGATTTAAATAAGTTATGAGATTTATTTAATATGAGTTAATGGATTTAACTAATTTATTCTATTTGGTGGAATAAGGTAGGCTTAGTAGATATTTTCCAATTAATGATAAAATGAGATAATTGTGAAGAGAGAAATGGAATGGAAAGAAAATAATAGAGAGGAAGGAAAAAAGAAAAGATATAAAAGGATATAAAAAGGGGATTGGAGAGAAAGAGAAAGATAGAAAGAAAGAAAGAAAAGAGGAAAGAAAGAAGAAAGAAGAGAAAGAGAGGAGAAGAAGAGGAAAAGTGGAATTCATCAAGAACCAACATCAAAGCTCCGATTAATCGAGGTAAGGGTGAGAAATGTTTCTATTTGATCATTGCATGATGTTATGTATGTTGGGTTGGGGTTTCGGTAGAGTTTTCATCACTTTCCAATTAAGGCAAATGTTGGATTAATCGGTAGATTGATGATTTAATCGGTTGGAACTGAGTAATTACACCGTAGAATAGTCGGGTAACATGTATTGATGCTATTTGTACTGATTTGGATGTTCAAGGTTTGGTTGATGATGGATTGATGAAGGAGAGGCAGAATAGGGTTCTGTTCTGCGCAGGTTCGCTGGCTCTCGCCAGGCGAGCGAAGGCGAAGCTTCGCCAGGCGAAGCCTAGCGAATGCTGGCGAGTAATTAAGTTTAAGTTCCAGTGGACTTCGCTGGCGAGTTCGCCAGGCGAAGTTGGATAGCGAAGGTTCGCCCAGCGAAGGTGATGGCGAATGGTGGCGAATGAAGTCAGTAGCTACTGACTTGGGCTCGCTGGGAAGTCTCGCCAGGCGAAGCCTAGCGAGTGTTCGCTGAGAGAGTTCGCCAGGCGAAGGCCAGGCGAAGGTTCGCTGCGAGGGTTCGCCAGGCGAATGAAGGCGAATGTGACAACATTTTTCTTTTGCTGTGTTGTTCATGTGGAGATGGTTTGGTTGCTTCTCATAGGGGAATGCCTCTATGATATGATATAGATATGATCTATTGTGATGATGTGTGCTGTGTGTAGCCTACGGGCGTGAATCCTAGTTGATGTGCAATGCGTATTAATTATGATAAATAGAAATACATGTGAATACAATGATGAATGTATGTGTATTGTCTAATGAACTTGCGAATGCTTGATGTGTATACAATTATGTGATGAGTATGCATGAGAACATGGTGGATATGTGTGCATAACTTATAATTGTATGATTGGTATTGTGATGTGTATACCTTGTATGAGATGGCATGAGATAAAGAATAAACATACTATGAAAAATGTGTTGTGGATGCATATTGTTTATATGCGATTGTATGTTAAAATACATGAAGAATGCATGAGAGCATAATGATGGATATGCGTGCATTGCTTGCTAAATATGATGTTGTATTGAATTGTGAATATATGTGGATAATGCATGGGAACATATCGTGGATATGTGTGCATCGTTAATAAATGTATGGGATGCATGGGAATATATCGTGGATATGTGTGCATCGTTAATAAATGTATGGGATGCATGGGAACATATTGTGGATATGTGTGCATCGTTAATAAATGTATGGGATGCATGGGAACATATCGTGGATATGTGTGCATCGTTAATAAATGTATGGGATGCATGGGAACATATCGTGGATATGTGTGCATCGTTAATAATTGTGAGAGATGCATGGGAATATATCGTGGATATGTGTGCATCGTTAATAATTGTGAGAAATGCATGGGAACATATCGTGGATATGTGTGCATTGTTTGATGATGTGGTAATAGCATAAATGTCATGGGCATATGAAGTATGCTAGTGAATATGATGGGTTTTGGATGATTGGGGAATATGTATGAAGGGATATGTTTGGGTATGTTCATATTTGTTTATATTTACAACATGATAAATATGACTATGAAATGAATTTGTGGTGAGAAATGTAGAATGTAATTATGTGATACCTGTATATATATATATATATATATATATATATATATATATATATATATATATATATATATATATATATATATATATATATATATATATATATATATATATATATATATATATATATATATATATATATATATATATATATATATATATATATATATATATATATATATATATATATATATATATATATATATATATATATATATATATATATATATAATCTTATGCATTGATTATTATGGTAATATTTCTCACCCTTCTGCTGTTTTATAATGCTCTATGAGGCATTGCAGATTAGGTTGCTGGAGGCCTTTATGAAGTTCTGCTTGTAGTCCGAGGTTGCTACGTGTGTAGCGGTTTAGTAATTATTTATGGGTCGAGTCATGCTCTGGTCGTGTAACACGGGGATCGATTGCTTATGTTTTAGGATTACATTATGTAACCTAAGTTATGTTTTCATATTTGGAATAATTGAGATGATGAGATGTTGGCCTTAGTGCCTAGAGATGTTGATTTTATATGATGAAAGTAAATGTTTCTTTTAAAG